AAACCTGAGCTAGAAATAAAATTAATGATTAATTCCCTTATAAGAATTAATGAGTTAAATTCCTTACAGCGGGCTTGCCATATTATCTCCCGGCGGGCTTGCCACATTAAAGTCCATTGGGCTTGCCATATGAACTGCCGGCTGACTTGACTCCGGAACTGCCGGCAGAGGGGTTCCGGATCGGGATCGGAGACTCTCCAGACACCTCTCCAGATGGCTGTCTCCTTCCAGTCGAGGTCAGTGGTGTCTGGGAGCTTCGTGGGATGATGGAATGTCATTCCGATCCGGAACAGCGTTGCGAGGGTTTCCCCATCGAGGGGGCTGGTGAGGGCGAGCGGCACGAACGCCCTTGCAAAGACGATGGGGTCTGGGCTCGCCTGAGCCAACGCGATAAACATCAATCGTTCCTCCATTTGGGGACGAGCCACTGTGATGAACATCGCTCGTTCCTCCATTAGGGTGGGGAGAAACGAACGGGAAAAAACAAAAGATACTTTCAAAAACATGGAAATTAAACACGGGGAAGGGATGCCGCTTACTGTTGGGTCCGGTATTCTGTCACGATCTGCTATGGTGCGGGAACACGGAGCAAGGAACGAGGAGACCAAGAGTACAAAAACCAAGGAATGTATTAATCTTCACGGGGAATCACACGTAGCACGAGGAGTAGACATAAACAATACCGGACGCTGGAGCACACACAGGGAACACTATTTAAACACACAGGAGGAGGGGATGATGAGACACACCTGGGAGCAATGAAACATCATGGGAAACACCTGGGACAAGTTAAACATGGGAAAGGAAGGCACATGAGGAGCAAAACAACCACAAAACACGGAACAGAGTCTGACAACGTCATGGTGTGAGCATGTTTCACATAGCTGAAAACGCACACCAACATCACAAAAAAAAACTATATTCCAACCTAAAATTAGACTGTGCTATGTAGGGAAAAATACATAGACATCACTGAGCCACTATGATATTTTAGGACATAATTTAACAATATAAAAACTGCTAGCACATCAATGATGTAGGTTAGTAAATCTAAATAAAAGTTTGATAAAACATTTGGGTAACACTTTCTATGAAGTTTTATAATTAAAGATTTATAATACATTATAAGGATGTTCTTAAGGCACTATAATGAATGCATAATGCATTATAAAAACCCTTATAATATGTTATATCATCTTATGAATATTCATAAGAACAGTTTTAATGTTTTATAATATTTACTTATTTGTGGTTATAGCTTTTAAGAGTATGATGATTTATAACACACAGTGAACATGTTACAATCCACTTAAGTTACAATGGATTATATTTCTCATCTTTCTTATGCTACTTTACTTAAAGCCATCAAAGACCACTTATAAGTATAGTAATAATAATAATAATAATATTTTTTTCTCAAACAGCCATAAGATCAGATATCAGATCAGATCAGATGAATGTGTAATAAGACATATTTGCTTTGAACTATTTTTAATGTAATATCAGTTTGATAATTTTGACGGTTCCCCAACAGACAAACTGACTATAAGTAACTTTGCAAGTACATCAACATTCTACCAACCCTAACCTTAACCTAAGCCTACTAATACTCTGAGAGTTAGTTGACATGTAGTTGCAAAGTTGCTTATAGTCAATAGACTAGGGGGACCATGCGGAGACACGGAGAGCCTCCAGGGCAGATCAGGGAGCCATGGCGGATCAGGGGACTCAGGAGGCCTTAGCTGGCTCGGCCATGCGTATATGGCCCCCACAAAAAAATTTTCTTGGGGAAATCTAGGAATCCCGGGGGGTGCTCTGGAGGAGCGGGCACTACATGGCGCTCTGGAAAGCGCTTACGAGGAGCGGGCACTGGAGCGAGCTCTGGGGCTGAAGCCGACACTGGAGCGAGCTCTGGGGCTGGAGCCGACACTGGAGTGAGCT